ATATTGAATGTTTAATAGTTGACCGTCGCATTATAAAGGAAGGAAATGGTCCGAGGTTTGCAGGTCTTCTTCAGGGAGGTGTGTTCAGCTAGGAGTTTCACTTAGAACTGAGTGAACCTCTAGTGAGTTCTAAGTGAAACTCCTAGCTGAACACACCTCCCTGAAGAAGACCTGCAAAGGCGGGTCGAAACGTTGGCTTTTAATAAAATAGTTTTATCACTATTTAGCCTATTTATGACCGCCACCCCAGACCATATCCTTCCTTTAAACATTTTATAGTTTGTTTTCGTACTTAATTTATCAAAATAACGAGGTTAGGAGAAAAAAATAAGAACCCAGAACTTTTCTTACGTCGAATCAATACATATATAACTTTTCAAATTTGAGGTATTGCCGAGGTCATATAGCTTTATAACCCATGGGGGAGAGGAAATTCCAAAAAATTATAAAAATGGAAAACAAAATTTAAATTTAATAATAAAAATTGATGGCATAATTTGGGAGCTAAAATAATATTTTCTCTACTTATTACAATTCTCATCCCTGTTGGAGTTTTAGTACAACAGTCTCAATTTACACGATTGAAAGTATTTTGAAATCAAAAAATGATACAGGCTAATAGCAATAGTAAATAATAAGACACACTTACATCTCTAATTAGGTTCATGACGTCCTCAGCGGTCAAAAACTTAATGAAACTAACGCTTATCAGTGGTCGACTACGTCTTGCTTGGTTTTAAGGAATCTCCTAAACCTCATAGGAACTGATATAAAATCGTTATCGACAGTCGAAATGCTTGGTATTGGTACAACCTAGGGAGATAAGATAATTAATTCATTAGAAATTCATTTCTATTAAGAAATTTTTTTTTTAGTAAAAAGGCCAGAAAAATAATTTATCTACTCATTTTTATTATTTTAAATCTTTCCTCCCTTTTAAGCAATAAGGGAGTTTGAATTATTAGGATGTTACACATCACTGCATAGATCCCACTCCTGCAAGAATACCGACTTACATCTTCACAATAAGCTGTGCAAAGGGTGACCAAAAGGAGATTTGAAAGCGTAAGTTGCGTCATACAAATTTTTGAGGAGGCATATATTGGCAAGTTTTTTATTTTTTGAGGGATTTTAACGAGGTTATGAATTTTCGGAATAAAAAATTATCAAACCAGGGAACATGAAAGAGACCCCTGCAAGAGTTATTATATATGATCAAGGATTTTTTAAATTCCAGTTTCGCTTGCACTGTTTATAAGGAAAGGTCAGCAATAAAACATCTTGGAAGGGGGGGGGGGTTAATGCACCATCGACCTTGGCGGGATGGGCACTCCTTGCTGTGAACACAGCATAAATATTGAAATATCCGTGTTTTCTTTTTCAGCTCCTCCTAGTTTTCAGTAGTTGGGGTCTACTGCTGCCTTCCTTCCGTTCAAAACTCTTCTAAGTACGAGGAGTTTCCTTCTGTGCATTAACGGATCCAGGATTTAATTTTGGAGGCTTCAGCCCGAAAGCTTTTATATATATTATGATAATTACTTTAGGAAAAAAAAATAAAGAAACTAACTACCGATATGAAATGGTGTTTAATGGATTCTTGAAGTACAATTAAATGTATTTAGACGAAGAATAATACTTTTTTTTTCATAAAACACGGTTATATGTGCACGGTTATCATATACCATTTTGGAGCACTTGCGGATCCAGGATTTCATTTTGGGGGGCAGGTTCAGCCCGAAAGGTTTTTCTTTCATATATATAACGATAACTACTCTAAAAAAAAAAAGATACTATCTACATATATGAAATGGTGTTTATGTAATTTTTGAAGTCCCATTAAATGTAATTACATGAACAATAATACTTTAAGAGATATTTTTTACCATAAAACATGGTTGCATTTTACCATTTTTGGGGGGGAGCTTCTGCCCGAAAGCCCCCCGTAGATCCGCCTGTGTTTTGAAGGGAAAAGGGGGCTTCAGTCCGAAAGTCTCTGCCCCCCTTAGATCCGCCTTTGCTTCTGTAGCCCCTTAACTAGCTGAGGCAAATCATTATCTGTGAGCACATAGAGACCAGTTGTCTCCATTAATTTGATCCATAACGATCCCGGATGCCACAGCTAGAACATAGTGATTCCATTCCCAAAAAGAATCCAATTATCCCTCTAACATAGTGATTCCATTCTCAAAGAGGATCCAAATTAGCCTTCAAACGTGATCAGATGGTGGGAAAGTTCTATCTCAAGGTGGTCGGCCCGTTTTCGATTTCTCATCCAACATTGTTCCAATCTTCCATCTCTTCCGGATAATAGTTTCCATTTGATCGGATTTTCTTTAATTCTCGCTTTGATATTTTCCTGCTTTGCCTTCTTTCTTGAATGTAATTTCAACATATCTTCTTGGTGGAGGAGTCCGAAAGCCGCAGTTAGCGGTACAGATCCCTTTTTATCAAATTATTAACACCTGCCTAAAACTTCGTGAATAGTTTCAATTCATCGTAACCTATAACTATTTTATTTACAAAAATACTTGGAATTTGGGAGTTTTCTATCTGTAGATCGGCAAACTTTGTCTATTAAATTAAGTACTAAAAACTCATGAATATCTATTTGCCTTCCACTTGAATCGTAAGATAATTAGATCACAAAATCGAGAATAAAGGTGGCCTACAAAAATATTATACCTTTTGGTGTGACCTCCGCCCCAATATGTAAAATTAACGTGGTTATATAGGCCAAACGACCCCATATGTTTGTAGACCACCTTTCTTTTTCTTTCTATTTTTATTCACATCAGCTTATGATTCAACAAGAAAACAAAAGAGTATATATAAGTTTTTAGTACCTAAATCAATAAATTAATTTATTGATAAAATTCATTTCTGGGAATTTTCTTAGATAAAAAAATTGTAGGTTACAATATGATGAAGCCATTCATGAAGTTTTAGGCGGATATTAATAATTTGATAAAAATGGGTCTGTACTACGGACCAACGCCCTCCAGCTATCTGTATCGCCTCAATTCGAGCCGTTCGCTGTATTGTCGCCCAGCTGTTCTTATGCCTAAGTTTCGGTCCAAGATATCCCGATTTCAGTTTATGGACGCATACTTCAAAATATTTAAAAATCTTTCGATTATAAATAGGGCTTGTCGCTATGTATCCAAGACCCAAAAAAGATCCTCCCCCCTCCCCAATCGACTAATGATGTTCAGATATTAACCACACTATTTCCCAGACACTACTTTTTATGTACTAGGCCACACTATTTCCCATGTACTAGGCCACACTATTTCCCAAATATATGAAAATTTATAAGTGAATTGAGTTCGTGTTATAAGAGTTTCTTCTGAGGTGTCAACTTTTTTTCTCTCATCACCGCCATCTAGATAAATTAAATACGGAAACAAGTTATAAAATTTACGAAAACAAATCATAAAAAAAAAAAAAATCAGTCTGATTGATTTCAAAATTCTATTTAACTTCCTTAGGTAAGCAAAGACCTCGGTGATAATGTTCAGCTGCTCATATTTCAAATTATATATCTTTTTTAAAAATATCTATTCACAATTACTTGACTTTAGGTCAATATAATAAATAATCACATTTAGTTTTTGATCATTATTAATGAACGTTTCGGGGAATCTTTGTCCATTTCTTCAGCATTTAAAATAATACAATTAATTTATTACCATGAACAAGACTCTATCATGACCAGTCATTCAAAAGAGGCCATGTTTGACAATATAAAAATATTAGGGAAAGAAAAAATAAAATTTATTTATAACCAAATATTAAAAATAAACACTGAATATAAAGGACGATGTAATTACTGATACATGGAACCAAGCCATAAAATAACAAATTTAATATTTTAATCCCCACCCCCCTCTGCCCACAACTCCCTAATAACTGTGACACCCAATTTTGGACATATCATGTAAGTAAATTATAATTTTGACAAATGTACATAAAATAATTTAAATTAAGTTGAATAAAAAAAATTGTTTAAATGTTACCTTTTTTTACAGTAAAAATGACTGGTTCATGATAGAGCCTATAATAAATCAGTTATATTATTTTAGATGCTGAAGAGGGGGACAAAGAATCCCCCGAAACGTTCATTAATAAATAGTGATAAAAACTAATTGTGATTATTTTTTAAATTGACCTAAAAGCAGATAAGTGAAAAAAACATTTTTCTTTATTACGTAATCATATGAATGTCTTAAAGTTAATTTATATATCTATATAAATAAAATAAAGATTTTGTCTGTACATTGAATAGAATCAACCCGTTTTATGGCATCTTTCTGTTTCATACATTGCAGACATCAAATCCACTTTTAAAAAAATTTTGCCTGTCTGTATGTCCGCATTGCAACAAAATTTTGTCAGGAGTAAGCTCCGCAATGGCTTATTGTAGACTTTTGAAATTATATTAAGGTTTACTTGACTTAAAACATAGGCTTTAAAGGAAAACAAAATATTGAATAGAACCAGAGTTATGAATTCTTGGGCAATTTGTCTAGAGATCCAGGTTAGGCAGTTACTTCGATTCTCATCCCAACCTACTCTACCGCGAGCCATATTTAACAGTTGTACTATTCAACTGATGGAAAATATTATCACAACTCAACGGGAAAATTCCGAAATACCAAATATCTGTAACGTGTTGTCGCTTAAAACACACTCATTTTTTAACTTCGTCCAATCTTCCCGTTTAAGGTGTCATTCTATCCAACTTTTCGAGCATAACAAATGATGTATACATTTTTAGGATTAACCGAACGGATTAGCCGGAAATCGGAAGAAAAACTTCTAACAATTAAAATTACCACTCACTCCTCACCCAATGTTATGAAATTAACTCCCCCCCCCCATAATACAATATCCATATCAAAAAAATATTCTCAAATTTTAACTATACACCCGTCAACGATGGGTTCATCAGCTAGTGTTAAAATATATTAATAAATAATACATTTTTTTATAACGTCTAGGTGAATATATGGATGGCAGCACCAACCACCCTGCAAAGCCTGCTGGTATTTCCAAGCCGAGGGGCCTACGACATATCCACTCTACAAATAGTCAACAGTGGGGGGGCAGCCCTCAGCGCTGACTCCCAACTGCGAATTCAGAGAGAACTCTTCAGGAATAGGACAATGTTGTTGCAAGTTTATGGTAAACTGATGAAAACTATAAAATAACTGATATTAAACAATCATATACATTATTAATATTATTTCCATATTCAGTAACAGATCTAAAATCATATATATCCAATTTATATTTGACAATTAGAGTGCTACCAATGGGTAGTTTCTCAACATGTGATTTCATGCCATTTTATTCCTTTGTTCACATTTACTGAATGTATTTTTACTTGTAATACAGTTGTAAATATCATCAATAAAAAAAAAATAAAAAAATATTGACAATAACCATGTGATTGACCTTAGGAATGACTGAACTTGGTGGAGTAGCCGTGAGTGCTCCGGGAAGAATAAAGCCAGGAGCTTGCGGGACATTGACAGTTGGTACAAGTGTCAAAGTAAATTGTACGCTCAAATTTTTTTCAAAATATTTATCTTTTTCAATCTTTGTCAATCACGTCGTTTTGTTTGTTTTTAGATCGAAGATATAGAAACGGGAGAGAGCTTGGGACCAGGAGAGGAAGGTGAAGTTTGCGTTAAGGTTAAATATTTCATGCTCGGCTATGCCAAGAACCCAGAAGCGACGAGCGCCACCTTCGATGAAGACGGATGGTTCCATACCGGAGACATCGGTTATTATGATGAAGAAGGATATCTATATATAATTGACAGGCTCAAAGACCTCATTAAATACAAATCATACCAGGTTATTATTCCTTCGCTATATATAATTAAATAATTACGCATTACTAACACGAATTGCAACAGCATTTAGCAACCTGTTGAATAGAATGAAATTTTACAACATTGTACATTATATAGATTCATAAAACTATTCTGAAACTTAAATAATAGTAAACAGCATAAATATTGGCAAGTTCCTAAACTCAGCTTATCGAAGGCATTAGAAATCCATCAGACCATTCCTAACCTCACCGATGGCTCAGCTTCCTTGCCTTTTGGCTTTGGGTTGTCACTTGTAAGTATCTTAAACAAGGTTTCTCCTATGGTTAAAAAAGTTCCTTTTTTAGGGAAATTCTAAGATCGGGAGGGAAAAAAATATTTATCAATCAAAGATAAATCTGGGCTTAGTTAAATCTATTTTTAATTTCACTTACTTTTATATCGATTAAATGATAAGGGAAATTATTGCGATCGTGAAAAATTTCGAATTCGAATTTTCAATTGGAAAAAAGTTTTGAGGTCGTCTGAGTCAAAATAACTAAGTCTGTGTTTGAAAAAAGAAAATTAGTACGAAACTGAAATTGCATATTTATGGTTTGTTTATGCCCGGGATGTTACAGCAACTTTTTTATCAAAATCGACAACCCCGAAGTGGTACTTTATATCATCGATTTAAAACATTTTTAAAATAATATACTTAAGTAAAACAGACATAAAATTTTGGCGGAAGCGATTCTTAAGTTCGATCTGAGTGAAAATGTGGCTGACTAAAAGGAAAATTAAAAAAATATATACTGGAAACGATGATATGAAATGAAAAATAATTTTATTCTGGGACCTCTTATATTTTTTTTTTTTTTTGAGTTAATGAGTCAATAAGTAAAATGAATTTTATTTAAGGTCAGAAATAAGTTTAACAAAGCATATATTTTTCTAAGCTATTGGAGAGCTTTCTAAACAGCAAAATAAACTTTTTAAAGAATTAAATATTTCTAACTTAATAAAATTACAGGAGAAAAAATTGTGATGACTTGATCGAAGTACAAAACTAGGTATCATGTAACTTAATAGTCCGTGGTACAGATCCCTTTTTATCAAATTATTAACGTCTACCTGAAACTTCCTAAATAGATTCATCTCATCGTAACCTACAACTATTTTATTTACGAAAATTCTCGGAATTGAGGTGTTTTCAATCTGGAGATTGGCAAACTTTATCTATTTAATTAGGTACTAAAAACTCGTAAATACTCATTTTCTTTCCGCTTTAATCATACAATATTTGAGCAAAAAATCGAGAAAAAAGTTGGCCTTCAGAAATATTAACTGTTTGGTGTGACTTACAAGTATTTTATTAACGAAAATTCTAGGAATTGAGGCATTTTCAATCTGGAGATCAGTACCTAATAAAATAGACAAAGTTTGCCGATCTACACATTAAAGATGCACCAATTCCAAGAGTTTTCGTAAAGTTGTAAGTTACGATAAGATGAAGCTATTCACGAAGTTTCAGGCGAATAATAATTGATAACTTTATCTAAAGGGATCTGTATCACGGACTATAAATAAATAAAAATAAAAATAATTTTCAAGAAGTTGCAATACCCTTCGTCTGTAAAACAACAGAAGTTGAGCATTGTGTGTAAACATAAAAACATAGCTAAATTAATTGTTAAGAAAATCTAGACTTTATTAATGGTAATAAAATTTGTTGTAAGTAAGCAAATATTTTAAAATACAAGGTTGACGCAGTTTACTTCCTATCTATATTCATTTCTGTTCTGTAATTCACAATCCATCAGTGCTGAATCAAATCGATTGATGGATTCCTTTGATGGAATTAGCGCTGAGTTTAGATACGCCCATGTAAAATTAATATTCAAATAAAAATAGGTACGCACCTGCAAATGTTTTTGTGTGAAGATTCTCCATAAATGTATAGTTGACTGCACTAATAAAACTGTTAAATGTTACATCAATTATTTAAGTTCAAAATCTCACCAGCTAACACTAAGAATGTAAAATGATTGCTTTATATAGTATAACTTCTTACTGATTTACATAACGATAGGTAATACTTTTATATAAAACTTAAAATCTAAATGAACCAACATCCAAACAATGAAACATTCTCCGACTTTGGAATAACTAAAATAACTAATTTAAAGTTTTATATAAACTATATTGAAAACTAACCGGGCTGACAGTATGCACTCTGAGCCATAAAAAGCAAAAGCATCATGATCAATGTAATATTCAAAGTAAAACAGAAAATATTTAAATGTAATCTATTATATTTATTTTGATCAATGTTTAAAAAATAAAGATAGAATATATAATTAACACCCCACTAACATACCATTCCCTTCAGTCAATTTTGAAAATATACCTGTGGGATAAATGATTCTGCTCACTAATGTTGGCAAGACTTGTTAGGAACTTCAAATAATTCAGGTTGGCGGTAATTTCAAAATAACTGACTATTTTCATTAATTTATGTGCTAATAAACATTGTTTTATTGTTTGTCTTTTTTAGTCTCCTCGTGTCACATATAAGGACATCTATTCTACTGAGAGAATTAGCTTTATAGAAATACAATAATTATATTATTTAAATCAAAGATAATGTTAAATAGTCAAGTTAAACAAAAAATTTACTTCAACAGTCTAATTAACTAGCTTTAAAACAAATATGTAAGACATTTTCTATCAGCATTAGTAAGAATAATAACTTAAAGTGTGCTTACTTAAGTTATTTGATTTAATTCAATTAAATGACAGATATAACCAAGGGCCCTAAGAAGAATTTTCATCACTAATCAAATTGTCATTAAAAGTCAGCCTCGATCTTTCTAATGTATGCAACAAAAAAACTGTTAAAATATATTAAATAAAATATTTAATATTATCTATATTTTATATTAATGTAAATTTAGAAGCTAAATAATAATCTCTTGTAGGGCAGGCTGTACCCTCTCATCAGGCTTGGGCATAACAGATCCATACATTTTTTTTTTTTAGTTTAAGTTATACAAAAAGATTCTAAGTAATCCTTAAGAACTTAGTAATACTTTGTATTAGTCAAGCCCCTTCCTGCATACTTGCAGTGTTAGGGTTCCCTTACTACTGTCTAACCCGTAAATCTATCTCTCTTTCCTGCCAACTCTCTTCTTCTTCTCTCTGCTTTCGAATGCTTCTTTTATGCCTTCCTCTCTTGCATCCTATCTACAACTTTCCACCTGAGTCTCTTAGGTTGCTCTGGCTATTACTTAGTAATAATCGATTAAATAAATCTATAAAGTCTTTCTAATATTATCACAAATTTAACTGATTAGATAAGCCAAAAATAAATAGTAGAACCTTAAAAATCCTTGCCATGCATCCCCAACCTAACCCTCTAAAACAGAATTTGTAATTAAAATAATTGAATAACTTTATATGGATTTTAAAAATAGAAAGATAAATTTCTGCAGTGTACTAGAATTGAACACTTTGATCTCAAATCGATAACTACAATTAAGCAGACTTTTTTTAAAACAAACATTTAGTGCGAATAAATGCAAAATATATTCAAAAAATTTCAGTAATAAAAAAAATATATATGTTTATTATTTTTAGATAGCACCAGCTGAAATTGAAAATGTATTAAGGACACATCCAGCAGTCAAAGACTGCTCTGTTTTTGGAATTCCTCATCCAACAGATGGAGATCATGCCACAGCTTTTGTAGTTGCTCATAAAAATGTTACTGAGAACGAATTACTAGAATATGTTGCTGGTAATTGATTAATAAATACCAAATCAAATAGCTTTTAGTTTATATAATTAATAAAAAATTAATGTTTTATTTTCAGAAAGAGTTTCAGAAAACAAACAGATCCGTGGTGGTATAAGATTTGTTGAATTTATACCTCGCACTTCAACTGGAAAACCCAAGCGACGGGCTTTGAGATCACAATTAATGGCGGAATTGCAGGGAATTAATTTCATGTAAGTGAACAAAATACTGAATGTGCTCATTCTATTATTATAAATATTCAACCTGAACATAGCAAGATTTCAATGAAACTTTCAGACAGAATACAATTCCCAAATGTTGATATATATCATTAGTATATAGTGTAAATAGCTTCATTTAGAATCAATAGATCATATTTTCTTCAAAACAATAAGTATTTTATTTTAATTTTATCCTTCCGTTCTTTGTCTTTTAGGCTATACAGTTTTTCCTGAGCCAGACTTATTTATTGTAGGTATAGAAAGTATTTCTCTGATGTAAAGTCGAGGTGTTTTTTTTTTTTTTTTAATAATATATATAGCTTCTGGTTACACGAAAGTTTCAATGATTAGTAACAAAATCACCAAAATATGCCTTTCCAAATATTTAAATATTCATATATTTAATTTAATAATGATTCCTGAAATTTCCATAAAAATCTAAAATGATCAGGTTGAATGAGTGGTTAATTTGGCATGGAATTGATCATATTGTGTTTTTTTAACTCGCTTTCAAAAGTCTGCAAATGATGGATTAAATAATTTTGTGTGATTTATAAAAATAATTGTATAAAATATATTAAAAATTTAAATTTCCAATTCCATGTACACATTGAATTTTATGCAGGAAAAGGTGGAAGACATCATCAGTAAAAGAAAAGAAGAACACAAAAAATAACCAACTAGTCCCAGTTAAAAAAAAAATCCTAGATCTCCCCCAAAACTAGTGAAATACTCTTTATCTTCCAATGTTTCAAATATTGAAATAATTTTGAAAGAAATTATACTTATGGGGTTAGAAAGGCATTTATACTGCTCATGCCATAAGAAGAATGTTGGTTGTAGGTAAAGTAAGCAAAAGAAGTTAAATACATTTAATATAAGTTTTGTCATTAACAAACAGAATCAGAGCAAGAGAAAATTTAAAGAAATTGTAAATTATTTTTAAATATTTACTGTCAGGAAAAGATATGCAAGAAATAAATACAATCAATTCAGATTATTACATCAAATTGTAATTTTTCAATTTTTTATTCTATGAATATGAATTGATTTGCTTCTGTTTATGACGTAAATGCCAATCTTCATCAATCAGTGTTTGTAATTTAAGGTTTATCAGGATTATTTTGCAATAAATCTTGATAAAGCTTTTTATTGAAGAAAAAAAATGGCCACCCTTAATGATACTAAAATGCTGCCATCTGAAAAATGGGATGTGTAAAATATGTAGATTCTTACATAGGACAGCTTTGGTCTTGTGATTTGTAGTTGCAAAAAATGTTTAGTAATGAGTACCAGAATTTCGGAGGAAAAACTAGGAAAAAGAAAAGTATAGGCCAGTGCACTTCTCCATTCACAGGTCTATACCTCAGTTTAATACCCTCTTTACTGTTCCCACAATTACGAAGATGCTATACAAATTTTTTTTCTAACAAAGTTGTTGGTCATTTCACCATCTGAAATCTTGCTGCCCAGTATAAACTATAGTTTTTCATATATTCATTTAAAAATATCTTTTTTCTTATGTCCATCAAAGCAGGACGTGTCTAGGTGGTCTGTATCCATTCTTCCTTGATGACATAGATTACACCTAGGATCCTCAGTCACACCTACCTTGTGGAGATGACTTTGTAGATAGTCGTGACCAGTGGCCAGGCGGAGGCAGGCTATTGCATCTCTTCTCCGTAGGTCAGCTGGGATCGGGTTTTCCATCAAACATTCATAACGTCTCCCTTCCACCTTGTCTCAGCATATATATTTTAATTCCTCCTAATTGAATCATAAGATTTTGGATGAACTGGTTTTCTCCTCTTCAGGCAATTCTCCTCCTCTCTTGGCGAGACAATCTGCTTCCTCATTTCCTGGACAACATAGGTGCCTCGGAGTGTTAGGTCGTAGAGGAGAGATTTGCACTACAAGATAGCACTCAACAGACTTTAATTCACGTTAGTAACAGCAAGGATGGCTGTTTGAGAGATTTGACGAGGAGAACAGCGCTCTGAACTTGCCTTCTAGATAGTGTTCTTAGGACTATGAGGATCGCTGCTATCTCACTGTCGAAATTTGTACCACCCTCACCCAATCCAGTACTGAACTAAAACTTCCTCAAGTACACCTCTGGTCCCTTCTTATATAAAAATTTATAAGAATTATATAATTAAAAAAATGTATTGGCAACAGTGACATATGTATGCACCCTGCGTAATACTTCACTGCTGTCACAGTCCATATTACATTACCTATGAGGAAAAAAAAAGATATAGTCACCATAGCGGACGGGCCTAAGCATTGTGAACTTGTCAATCCACTGAGCTTATAGATACTCGTGTAATCTGCCGTATCATGCTCTATTTGCTAATTAATATTGCACATATTAGGACTATTGAGCACAATGTATTTATTGTTATCCATTGTCAATAGCTCATGAAAAGAAAATTTTTTTTTCAACCTACTTTTTTCATGATTTTTTTAAAATTTATATTTTCAATTTATTTTGTAAGCTCTTTGTTATTAGTTTTAATAAACAGAAATATATAATCATATATTAATTGATCATTTTTTTAGAATGATAAAAGATATTAAAGGGTGGCCATTTTTTTTTTTTTTTTTTTTTGTACATAAGAACGTAAAAATATTGTATTTTGAATAAAATGTATAAAGTTTTGGTAAATAAGATAGTTTATATTATAATTTTTGTTAAAACAATGGTTTACTATAATTTCTTTTGTTATTGAAATTTCATCATCAGATGTGTCAAGTATTGATATTTTTCTGTTTGAATAAAATATAACATTAATCATCGATGCCCCAATTTGTAACAAATTCAAGGACTGAAGGCTGTTAACACTAATTAAAAATATGGCTTGATTGATGTTGAAAAATAAATATCTTATAATTGTCAATTGTTAAATATTCAGAGGTAGATTTTTTTATTTATTTTTTACTATGCAAGATAATAGAACATTTTATAAATTCAAAAGTCAAGAATAAAATATTTAATCTAGATTATTGTTACATCTATTTATACAAAGTGCATAAATGTATATCACTGCCACCACCGAATGTGAATACAGATACTTTTCTGGAAACTAAAAAAGAATTTAATGTTTTGACTCCTCCATTGCAAATTATTCTTTGATTTTTGGACCTTTTTACGTCTCTGAGTTTATTTTTTTTTATCTTAAAAAAAGTTTCTGGCAAATTAATAAAAGAAATTAATTCCAAAAATGACATATTTTAAACACGTTACTTAAATGAGGTGGAAATGATAAATATACACACATTTATTTTTTCCTAGCTAGTTGAACAGTCGCTAACTAATTACTCCTTCAAAATCTTAGAACATTTTTAAGTTTAAAAAAAGTATTTCAGAATGTTTCAGAACTTTCAAAATCATTTCCAGTTGAACTCAAATATTGTTATAGTATTTAAGCTTGTGTGTGAATGAGTTTGCAAGCTAGAAAAACAGACCTTTTTTATTTAATAAATTATTAACGTATTCATTGATAATGGCTCAATACATTTTCCTTTCCTATGGTGGAAAAGGTATTATCTCTAGTATATTATCTCTTAGTATTACCAACCTAATAAAGTCAAAGTGTAAAGGTAAAGATTTTTGTTTCATGGATATTCTTTAAAATAAGAACTGTGATTTAGTAACATATTTTTAATAATCAGCTGTTAGTAGTTCAGTTCATAAAAAAATTATTATTTTTTTTAAATAAATCAATAATCAATTGTATTTAATGTAATTTTAGTGATTATGATTAAAGTAATATTATTTTTCTAACCTGGAATGCATCTGAATAATGACAAGAAACTTTATAATTCACATTGTGTTCTTAATTTTTTTTTTTAAACTAAAATATAGAATTAATTTTCAGTAATTTTTTTTTCAGAGCATCAGACCATCCGACAGTGATCTCTCATTGAAAATAATTATCTACAAATTTATTTTTACAAATGCACATTAACATTCAGTAACTTTAATAAAAAATGTTGAACTTATTTTTATGTTAGTATTAAAAGTAAACATCAAATTCACTCATTGCATTATATATTTTTCTATTCTATACCGGCAACTACAGAATTAGATATATTCAAATAGGATACTTAAATCACAGAATACCTATTTCTAGCCTATAATATCCTAAAGTAATTTAGTTTTTAAGAAATAATAAATTACTTATTACAAATAAGGATGAATATAAACGTTCAAATGATTATCAGTAATATTTAAAACAGAGAAAAAATTGTATATTGTGTTTTATAAACCAATTCCCGAATGGATTTTGAGTGATTTAGTTCAGAGTAGCAATATTTTAGTAGATTTAAATCAAAGAATAACAATAATGCAATATCTAATTGAAAAAAAGGTATATTAATAAAATGCCTAGATAAAAAGACATGACAATATCTGCACTATAACATGGTAGTAAAGATCCCTTTTCCGGTCCTCAGGAGCAATGGATTTTATGAATGAAGTACCAAATGAATGGTAATTCAACGGAGAAGTGACCAACCCGTTCCAAAACATGAAACCTAACAACAATCATAATAAAAGTAACAGTGTTTCAACTGCCTCCCGCGGTGCTACATCCTACGCCCTGATGAAGACCTGCAAAGTGGGTCGAAACGTCAGCATAAAAATTAAATAATACTATTTCTATAATTTAGTTTAGTATTTATTTGACCGCACCCTCCAATCAACTCCTTCTCATAATAAAAATAATTGAAAAACATAAGAGGTTTCAAATGTTGGCGGATCGAGATAAAATATATTTGTTTTAAACAATTTGATGCAAGCCCTGGTAGAAATATAGTTCCAAATAAACTATCGTCCCTGCCCATTAAAGCCCGAAAATGTACCATTTTCAAGATAAATTGTAATTCTTTCAAAAAATCGTTTAATTTTTATGGTTGCCAAGAGATACATATCAAATGTTTAGATTTTAAAAATTAAAATATCGCTATTATTTATCACTGTCTTTGACATAAACCATCTGATAGAAAAATCTATTGAAAAGATAAATGGAGAAAAATCCAGTGGTTACTTTGGATAATACAGAAACATTTCGAGCTCTTCTGCATCAAACTAATAGGTCTTTAACATGTACAAGAATCGATTAGTATAAATTCAGCAATGGCTGTGCCTAACTATTAAGCTTAAGAGATATTTTTCAGTGGAATAAGCTTATCACTTATAAGTAAATTGTTTCTTTAACAGTCGAGTAAAAGTATGAAGCTTTATCAATTATGTTGAATAGACTACCATGATAATTTTATTATTGTATATACAAATAACATATTTTGTCGATGTTGTTTTTACGTCGAATGCATTAGTAAGGGAGAGAGATAGCTATCTAATTTGAGTTCTGGTTGGTATTAAGTATTAAATACAAAAGGTGATCTATCAGCAATATGCGTTATAGGAGAAACCCTGGGAGCTTTTATTTTAGAGTAAAACCTGTCTAATGTTCGGTCTAACAAACAATTTTTTTTTGCCATCCCCTTATATTATAGTATGATATTTTTTTTTAACCCTAAAATATTGATGCTTGGAATTAAATCACTCTGCCATAACATTCTAACATCATGTGTTCAATTAATCCTTTTCCTTATAATGTTAAGGCTTTATAGAAAAGAAAATAATTCGGAAAACAAAGTATTTTAAATAATGATTATTCACTTATATTAATGTTTAAAAAACAAAACATTTAAAACCAAATAATGTCAAAACTACCATTAAAATCAAAAAGTATTATAGTTAATGTACTATCTTTATTTAGTAAGTAACACAATAAATAAGCTTATTTTTTAAAATATTTATAAATGTTATAAAAATAAAAATAGAAGATTAATAAAGTATTAATATTTATTTTGCTATTCCCTATTTATACTATGTATACGGTCATATACTTTTTATAAGAATAGTAAATTTTTAATGGAAACATTAACCTGCCATGTATTTTTCAGCGTTACTACAGTGTCTCACTCTCTTACTACAGTAAATTAGAAATAATAGAGAGGTTTGTTAAAATATAACTTTGTTTGGTTTTCTGTTGACTCCTAACGAAGAGGCAGAATACCAAAGACACTTAAATTTAAAAAGTCTGGAATATAGTGAATTTTCGGAATGGGTTTAAATTTTATTTCTTGATTGATTACTAAGGTCACTACTGAAAATCAAGGATCTAAAGAAAAACATTTGTTGGGAAGCAGCAGAGATTTTCATTTTATTATTTAAAGCATCAGGGTCGTCATGACAATTGTAGGCGCCCAGGGTGAAATTTATTAGGAGTCCATCTTATACCTTCCCATATCCTACGCTCTAATGTTTGCAAATCATTCTTATTATATCTAGTAATCGCATGTTTAGTTTGAACCTCTTGCCAGCTTGTTATTTTTCTTACATCAACTGGAACTGAGGGTAGAAATTATAATTTATAACTGACAAGTTGAGGTGTATGAAGGTCTAAACAAAGATGAAGAGGAGTGAAATACATATATTATATATTATATTAAAAAATATTATGTTTGTTTTGATATTAGTCTCTCATACATGGTGGCCTTTTGGACGACATTGGGAAGACAGACACAATAGGTTGCCTCTGCAAAGCAGGTATACACTAATATTTAAAAATAAAATTGTTCCTTTCATCAAAAATATTCCAACTCGGTCATCTTATTCACTTCTTCATCTCTTTAACCTTGTAATGAGTCATGACCTCCTGGATTAGCCTAAACCGGATGTCATGGTTTTGTGCTTCTTACAACTCAAGTCAACAAAATTTTGTTGTTAGTTAGGGTTTTATGGCATAAAACTTCGAGGTCATCAACACCTGTGTTTTCACAAACACAACTGTATTTAATTTTGTTTATAACTGAACTAGATGTAATTTACAACTTTTTAAATTGTTTAATTTTAAGAAATGCAATACAAACTTTACTGAGTCTTCATAATTTTTTTAGGATGTTTGATATTGTTTGATATGAGTCCTCAACTAGTTAGTTAAGTTTGGTATATAAATATTTGGTGTAAGAACATTAATCATCAAAATGTAATTATGTCACAAGACAAACTTAGACATAGATAATGCCACAAAACAATGTAAACTCAGCTTTATTATTAAACCTAGGTTAAAAGGAACATAAGTATGCCACCGAATCAAATATAGAATTAATAATAATAATAAAAATTAAAATCAACACAACTGATTTAAATTATTTCATAACGATTATGTAGCGGAATAGCTCAGTACACTGGTGGGTCTATTGAGAGGGCTTTAGGGATAAAGCTTCCCAAAATGGAAAAATCATTTTTTTTTTCCTTGGCCTAGATTTTTTTATGTGAGTGATCTAACATAAATACTTTAACAACCAAAATATCGTCGGTTTATTGCAAAAAGTCATTAAGTGACACTTCATAACATAAACTGATTAAGAACTTTGAACAAATAAAGAATATTGTGCGCTTGTTATAACTAACTATATTTGATATATAAAAGGGTTTGTTTCATTTTTATGCTCTGACAGTGTTTTTGTATCCATTTTTGTGTTCCCTTTTTATATTATAATGTACTGGGTTGGCAAATAAGTCCTTTCCGTTTATCTGTTTATTTTTATGTCACTATGATACTAGATACACTTCTTATCTGATAAATTAATCACTAAGGTGCATTGTTTATCCTGTTTGTAATATGTCAACAACTATATCTGTTAACTCTTGTTGAAAATAGCTTGGTATTGTGTTTGCTATTGCACTGTGAATATGGAATAAAATATCATTCATCACCGGCATATTTTCTAGTATTATTTTTAAAAAAGTACACGTGCTGCAGAAGCTCATAAAAAAAAAATGCAGTGTTTATGGGGATGATGCCTTAACCGAACGCACCTGTCTAAATTGGTTTGCCAAATTTCATTCAGGAAATTTTGAGATCAAATGATGCTCAACGGTCTGGTTGCCCACATGAAATTGAAACGAGCAATGTTAAAGCCATTGTTGATCAAAATCCCACTCAATCAGTGCGAGAGATTGCTATGGACCTAAATGTGTCTCACACAAGCGTAGAAAACCATTTGCACAAGCTCGGCTATGTTTACAGGCTTAATGTTTGGGTCCCTCACAAAACTTTTTTTTTTTTGTAAAACACAAAAAATGTTATAACTTCAATACGACTTTAGCTATCTACAAGAAACTAGCAGGAATTTAGGGCCACCTAAACTAAGCAAACAACCTTGTAAACAAACTACCTTATTTATTTGTTATGTAGGCATTAAATCAAAAAACCATTCATACAGCTTTGATGAGCAATAATTCAGCTTTCCAACGGATATAGTAACATCGAATTTGGAGAACATCCTGAAGAGTTATGAATGATCGGAAAGGTATTGTGTTCCACCAACGCTAGGCCCCGCACCTCATTGGTCACTTGCAATAAATTATTGAGTCTTGGATGGTACCTTTTTCCCCACCCTCCCAATTCACTAGACCTAGCTTCAACTGACTACCACTTACTCCAATCTCTGCAGAACTTCATGAATGGAAAGAAATTCCAAAAGGAAGAGGACATCTAACACTTGGATCAGTTATTTAACAATAAACGACAGACATTCTATGAACATGGTATTATGCAGTTACAGGAAAGATGGGAAAAAGTCATATTAAATAATGGTCAATATATTGCAGATTAAAATAAATTTTATATCTATAATACATTGAGTTTTATTTCACCCTGAAAAACCAAAAGGACTTATTTGCCAACCCAATATATACAGTTACTAAACATAAGAATTTATTAAGAAAAATAAAATAAATTCATCTCTAGAAGCATTTTTTTTCTTAGTCTTGAAGGACCAATTAAACACCACTGCATGTAGTGGTAGAGTTTTCCTTTTTTTTCCAGAGCGACAAGTTAGAAAAAAAAAAAAGCCTCCCAAAATGAAATCCAGAATTCGTTATTGGCTCAGTGAGCAAGACACAGTTGTCCTATCCTTCTCCGAGATAGGAGAATCCAGAATAGGAGAGTCCCTATAGACCAAGTACTCTTAATTAATTAAGAGAAAAAACCTGGCAGTTAAGCGTGATTTCAGTGAAATCATCTTCTTAAGCAACTGCTACATTAATAATTATCTAATAATGAAAAGGTAATAACATGGTCTGAATAATTAAAATGTTTATATTACAAATCAAAACAACAATAATAATAAAGATACTTATTATCAAAGGGATAAGTAACAGCTAACAATAATATAAATTTTAAAAAGAAATAAAAAACACATCATCAATATTTAAATTTTATAAATATATAAATTTTTTAAAAAATTTCATAGGAAGTCTTATTATTAAAAAGCAATAAAAATATAATCTACATCTTTGGGTAATGTTTTGGAAGAGGAAGGTAACTGATACCTTCAATTGTTATATTATTGCTTCAAACATTACTGCTTACGTAACTACTTGAGTTGTTCAGCTGCGATATCATCCCATTCATCTCTTCTGAAAGATGTTATCTTAAAAAATGTCATAGTTAAATCTCCTTGAATATAAATATATTTGACACTGTCCATGTCAAGTCTCAATTTAAAAACTGGTAAACTCCAATCCTCCCCTTTAACGAGAATATAAGAGTCATAAATATAAATATCAATTTCGCAATCTTTACCAGGTGACCATGAAAGGGGTAAAGGTGACCTGATTTCTTCATCCCAATTATTACCAGTAAATCCCCAAGAATTCTGTACTACATAACATTCTGGTGCATATCGCACATTTAAATGATAGGGAATAAGTGGATGAGGAAAAACCTGAAACATAAATATGCATTATTCGTATAACTGTTACAGGTTATTGGTTCTAAATTAATGTTAATAAGAATTTTTATTTTTTATAAAATAATGTTAATATGATATAATTTAAATTATAGAGGAATTTTTTATTTATAAAAAAAAAAATGAAATAATAGATAGAAACTAAATGAAATTAAAATAGATGAAACGTATTCACACCTATGTACAATATTTACATTCGCCCATGGGACTCTGAGTCATGCTTTGTCCACCAAATGTAGAAGCCAAAGCAGTACTCCAGGAGATCCCAGTGGTTCTCTCCCAGCCGCGTTACTGGTATTGGAAGCCAGTGAAGAGTGATGGAGGGCACTAGAGCAATAACCAAAAAAAAAAAAAGAGAAAACGGAAAAGGCCTTTGCCGAAGAGAAAGCAGTAAATGTTTAAAACTCTAATATCTCTGCAAAGAATTGTCTGATGTTGATGATTTTTTTTTTATTTGTAGGGAATTCAGGAAGGTTTCAAATAATTATGTGTATAATCAAGCAATTGAGTTTTTCGCAAATAAAATTATGAATTCATCATAACATTTTTTGCAACTTGTTTTCAGGAAATTATGTTATATACATAAATTAAAAGGGGCCACCATTTCAAATCGAAATGATGGATGATAATGAAATGTTAAAAAAAAACTCCCGAATTCGAATGCAACGCTGTAACAAAATTTCAAAGCAATCGGTGGAGAATTTTTGGAGATTGAAGGTTTTTAACAAAAACACATTTACAATTTTTTTTTTACATATATAAAATTATCGTAGAACAAAATTACTATGCCAGAAACCTTCATTGGAGTGTACAAAACAGCTTCTCAAACTTCCTTTAAAATGGCAACAGCTTGATAACAGAAAAATCATTGAGAATATCAAAGGAACTTAAATAACAGAATTGTTGATGACCATTGGCTAAAGATTTATTTAAATATAATAATAAAAAAGAAAAAGAAAGAAATTAGGTTTGAAACACACAATTGAGATCTATAAAAATCTAATTAATCCTCTATTCACAAATGTCACACATGCATTGTTGGGAATCATTCACCAGTGAATATAAAAATAAGACTTATTTTTTACTGGTAAGTTATTTGCTGATATTTGAGAGTCTTGATGCTTTGTTTTGATTTTCAAATAATAAATATTCCTGGATATTTATAAAATACGAGGATTGATTATAAATTATTCTGGGGATCAGTGATTGTTACACGAAAAACAATACAAATTATTTTTCTTTTATATTAAAGACTAGTTGGTCCATGGGAATAATTCCCAAAGTATATTGATCAGTGAACAAATTACGAGATAATAAGAAAAGAAAATATTGTAACTTAATATAGGATGGAATAATCAATTCTTATTTTCTCGGCAATTATAATCAACTAAGGAAAAGAAAATTAATTTAAAGCTTCATTAATGTTTTAAACCAACAAGTTTGTTACGGGTGCAATCAAACATAAAATATGTACTTTTTGAATTATTTGCAAACAACATTTCTTTTCCTTCATAACTTTTTGTCTGAAGTTTCAGGGTGATGTGTCAATTTTTTCAACCTAAAGGAGAAGGAAGCCTTTTAAAAAATAGGTTTGAAATAAACAACTGAAGACTGGATATCAATAACGGATATAGAAGTCCAACCAAATAAAAAAAAGTTAACTTAAACCAAAAAAAATTAAGCTTAATACCATGGCTAACAAAACTAAAAAGGTAGACTAAATTCCACAATCACTGTTATTGATTGTCATTATCAACAAATGTGGCATTAAGCCTGCTTTTTAAGTAGTTACGTTCGATATTTAGCTGGCTTGTTTAGTTATTATTTCCTGTTTGGCTGCCACTGACTGACATACAGCCTTTAACTTGAAATTTACAAAATTTTACTTAACCCCATATTCAAATATAGCTAGTACTTAAAAAAATAAATGAACTCACATGTTCACTAGACTGTAGATTGACACGGAAAGACACAGGCAACAGTTTTATTTTTCCTTTTATTTCTATTTTAAACCCAGGTTTAACATCTTCTTCTAAGTTGTAAAAGAAAGGAAGATGCTGTAATCAAAACCAAAAATAGAAAAAAAACTTAATTAAATTCAAATTTAAGCTATAATCCAGTGATATCTTAAGTTTACTTAGACCAAGTTCTGGTCCAATGCAGTATTGTATACTACTTCAAACTTTCAGGTGTTTTAATTTGATATTGCAATATTTTATAGATTATAGTACCAATAAAATGACTCCACAATTTTTCATTTATTTTATTTTATAAATTAAGGGGCATTAACCCACTTATAAACACAATATAAAATAAAAAACATTCTCACTCTCAAGTAAAAATTGTTTTCATCCTATAATAATATAATATAAATCCATAATTTGAGGAATAACAACTTTTATCAAATAAAGTAATTATAAATATTATTCAAAAATTATCATCAGCAGTTTCAACATCTCATGAGAAGAGGTCGACTAATACTTGTTGAAGCTTTAAGAACCTCATCATATATGTGTAATTTTTTATAATTTTTTTTTTCAGTTCAAACATTATGAATATTTTTATGCAAAGAGAAAAGCATGTTTAAGTAAAAAACATCTAGTAGTTTGTTCAGCTGAATAGGTAAGGTAATAGTGAAGCAGCAGGGTCAATGGACTGGAGAGAGGTAGTCTTTCAATAAGTCTCATAAGAACATCTCCCACTTTACATATTTAGTAAGGGAAAGTATTGCGATTGTGAACATTTTTAAATCTGAGTTTTAACGGAAATAAATATTTTGAATCCAAATAACCAAGTCCCGCAAAATAGTCTATGAAAATGTATAAAATATATGAAAAAATATTTTATTATTCTGGGACTGTTGTCCCTTCAGAACAAATTATAAGTACAGATTGTATGTCTGTGTGGTTACAATTAGATTATATATTTACAATAAGAGTTGTCTAAAAATAAAAATACTGAAGAAGAGAAAGAAAAGAACAAGAAAATTGTACATATATATGAGAAACTAAAATAACCTAAATAAATTGAGGTAGTCTCTGGGGGTGCTTAGATATTTCTCTTAAGTATATTTCGCAATCAGTCGGATTGAGAAAGGAGTAGGGGTTTAAAGAGGAGAGGTTTGAAAGAGGAAACTGATTGAGCGTGTCGAATATCAGCAGGGATGGAATTCCAGAGGGAGGCGGCTTGTATTGCAAAGGATTTGTCAAACACAGCAGTTTGGTGAGGAGGAGGATAGAGGATCGCCCCTCTGAGATCTGCGCCAATGTTCAGAAGTGAAAAAAAAAATCTTGTGACAAACAACCTATTGTAAAGAAATATGATTTTATGTATAAATAATAACAGCATTAACTTACCAAAGTTTCATGGTTCTTTTTATGTTTAATTATAGAAGAATCTGGATAGACTTCTGAGCTTATTAATGATGCTGCTTTCAAATCAATATCTCCAAAAATCTCAATTTTCTCAACTTTTTCTGGTGGAACCCTATGGGAAAATGAAAACATGTGGCAGCCATTTACGCAGACCTAAAAAAATGCAATTAATCATGATAAAATGTATAATTTTTGACAATAATTATAACAAAACTTCAATAATTCTAATTAAATACCAGATAGGCATCTTGTGAAACAAAAACCATAATCTGAAAACCCTTTCCACTAAGTAAAGGACTTTTCATTAATCCAAAGCCTTCTTCATCGCCCCACACTCCATTCAGGTAGGTATTTCTTGCAATATAGTTTTGATCTAATCGTGGGTTCAGATGGAAAGCAATTTCATTGAAGCCATATAGAAGGTTAATTGTAAATCTGAAGATAAAAGGTAAATAACTGATTATTACAACATAAAATGCAACTCGAAGAATAACAGAATTAAAATGTAAGTATATATCAGATCATCCCATAAGTAATTTGTTTTGTTTTTTAAATCTGTCTGTTTATGTTGATATTACTAATCCCTCCTTTACAATTGAATTGTGCTTACAAATTTTATCTATTACAGCATTACATAATCTTCTCTTTATCATTTTTTTTTAAACTTTTCTTGGAGAAAAATAGTTATTCTGTGCTGAAGTTTCAATTAAAATGGATGTCTCCAAAAACCACTTACAGCCAGTTACCACTTACAGCTTTTGGAATTCGATAAAGGAGAAAATGCTGCTTTAATTACAAAAATATATGGAGGAAACATCACTGGTTAAGTCCTCGAGAAATAAAGAGAATAACCAAGAGAAAGATTTTATCTGAAAAAAGTAAAGATGTCTGTTTGTGAATTATTGAAGGAAGTTGGTCAAGTTTTCTACACATCATGGGTGATAAATAGTTAGGATGCAGAAATTTTTAAGGTTTTTTATTGGTTCCGACGTTTCAAAGACAATTTTGAAGAAAAAGTTTGACCAACTTCAACTATCTTCAGATTCAAAAAAGATTTACTCCCTTGACAATATTATGGGTAATAAATAATCAGGACGCAGTTTGATTATTGATTTTATTGGTGACGACGTTTCAACCCAAGCATGTGGGTCACCATCAGGGCATGTTTTGAGCACTGTACTGATGTCCGTTTGGTGAGACATGGAAGAAATCCTTCATTACAAATCCTTTAATTTTAACGTAACTATCACTAAAGATCTCTACTGTGCTACTAGCTGGATCGATTAAAGTGGTTAATAAAGGAAAAACCTCGCTCATTTATCAATAGACAAGGTATTTTATTCACCCATTGCAAGGCCTCATGTTGCAAAACAAACATTGTGAAAATTGAAGAACTTTGGATGGGAAATTATTCCTCACCCACCATATTCTCCTTACTTAGCATCTTAGGATTTTCAACTTTTTCACAGCCTCCAAAACTCGTTAACAGGTAGAGACATGAATTCAGTCGATGAAGTGCAAAATGAGGAGTTGGTTTCTTTAATTCGAAACCAAAAGATTTTTTTCAGAAAGGGTTCAGAAAATCTTGTAGCAAACTGTTATACCATAAGCTAGTAAATACATTTTAGGTTGAACCTGTTTCATTGATTTTATCCTACCACTTTATATCATGCAATTAAATATCAACATTACTAAGGGGATGACCTGAAATATTATAACAAACTGTTATACTGAGAGATTGGTAGACAAAACAGTTAAATAGTGATGACATAAGACAAAAAATAGTGATTAGTTAGTTAATTCAGTAAGCAAAAAGATAAATCAATATAGATTAATAATTAGGAAAGCATAGTCAGACTAATATCAGCATTTGGTGGTCAATGGAATCAAAAGCTTTGTATAAATCTAACCATAAGGATGATTTAATTTTTTTTCCTTGTCACAGCTTGTATAATTTGGATAAAAATAGAATAGCCTTCAGAGGAATGGAAGTGAGCTCACTACATCCATTTTCATAAAAGCAGACAGTTCTTTAGTCAACAAGAAGTAGGGAAAATAAGAGAAGGTTTTGTTGTTTGTTATACACCAGTTTTTTTAGTCACTCAGCGAGTATCTGAGGTTTGCTGACATAAATGTTGCCTAAAACCTTATGATTTCTTGTTTTGTTTTTCCCCCCAAAAAAGTCAAATTTTTAACACTCTTTTTTTGTTTTTCGCTTACGCCTCAAAAACTACTCTTTTTTTTTTTAAGACCACTATATATAAATCTATAATACAAGGTGTGGCTAATTAAATATTTGGACTGATAATGTAAACCATTTTCTTTTAATTACCCAGATATTTACTTAAACAACAAATGCATTCCTTTCCTATAAGAGAAATTCTGTGAGACATCTGGAGAGAGGGAGTTTACCATGAGAGATCTCTGGTTTGGGTCTCGCGGAACGATTCCAAAAAGAACAAGGAGGTTCGTATTTCTCGAGGAGGTGCTGATGTTGGGAAGCTTGCGATATTAGCCGAGAATATTATTTTGGACTTCCTGGGGATTATCCAATATCATTTATACAGTAATTGAGGATGTCTTTTCTTTTATTATTTATTTATTCAAATTTAAATTGTTTTACCATCGACTTATTTTTTTAGTTATATTCATGGAATTACTTTGGTATATAGGTGTGCAATATAGTGTTGAATTCCTGGCATTTGAAATTTTTTTTTTTTAAGAAGATGTATATGTTATGCAATGTTTATAACTTGATATGGTTTATTGTTGATACTTTATAGGACTAGTGTTATGAAAAGGGAGAAAAGAAAAAAAGATATGTATGTATATATATATATATAAAATAGAAAAATGTATTTTTTTCTTTACTTCAAATATAAATACTCTTCTCAATATACACCCCTTCTCTATCCCTAAAGTGCTCCATGTGATTCTTCCATGGTCTGAAACAATACTCTAAGTCTGTCAGCTCTTTCAGAAGGCATGCCACACTCTTCACAGCTTCAACAGACTCAGATCTTGTTCCTATTAATGCAAATTTCACATTGGGAAACATAAAAGTTGCATGGCACAAAATTCAGTGAATAAGGCAGATGGTCTAGCACTGGAATGCTGTACTTGGTTAGAAACCTCTTGGTTAGAAACAATACAGAATGAGCCGGTGCATTGTCTTGGTAAAAAAAAAACCATGACTTAGCATTCCACGATTCGGGTATTTTTTTTCTTATTCTTTCATGGAGTTCATCAAGAACTTGAATGTAGCAATGTTGATGAATAGTTTAACCTTCAGGAATATAGTGAATGAGCACAATCTCATGAATCTCACGTTTCGTTACTTTATACCCACAACTCATAAAAAAATTCTGTACATTTTAGATTCTTTATGATGAACAGCTAAGCGGCAAAAAAAAACTGTTAGAGTGAAGATTTGGTATATAAGAACAAGCACAGCTATTGAAGTGAAATAACTATAATAATAGTATGAAAAATTACAGCAACACCTTTTTCAAATCAATGATTTAGATAGTCGGCAATCACCAAAACATTTGAAAAAGCATGTGTTAATCTAAAGGGCTCCTGAACAAAGTACTCAAAAGACCAGATGTGAAACATGGACGATCACAAAAAACTCTGGGTATCAGGAATTGGTGGACAGCTGTTCAGGACAGAGAACAGCGGAAGGCGACTCTTGAAGCAGCCAAGATTCAGTAATGAATTTTAAAGTTAAAGATAATGGATGGTTTGAATTAATAAGATGATAATTCTCGATTAAGGAAACCGGATTCAGAAAAAGAGAACCATGCATGTGTTTTTATGATTTCTTTCGAGCATTTAAAACATAAAGGTTTTTTTTTTTTTAATTTAAGGATAGGAAAAATATAGAATGAAAATCAAGATTTGAAAAAAAATAAAATCTAACACAGCTTTAAAAATAAAATAAATAAATAAAGCTCAAGTTTAAGAAAAAAAGCTGAACACTACTAATTAAAAATAACATAGCACACTACAAATTTACTTACTACAAACAGAAAGTAGTAACAGCATTTAAGAGAAGAAGAATAAAAACAGTCAAGTTATTTCCCTTCCAAACCTGAAATGAAATGGGCAATAAAAGGATACACATCTATGCATTCTGAGCTACTCAAACAGTTGAAGGTGCAAAAATAAGTCTGGGCAGAACGTAAGACATTTTTAGTACAAATTAAATTAATAATTGACCCCTTTTATAATATTCATACTTCTAAGCCATCATCATAATCAGACTGACAATATTTGAGGAGTATGTATTTTATCAACATCAAAAGTCAATGTATCTATTTTCCGATAACTTTCAGGTAATGAAAAAAAATGTGTATACAAGCTCTACTACCCAGTTCATCCAAACAGAGATATTGTTCTATATGGTAGATCTCTAAAGTAATAAATATTACCCGAATATTTTTAATTAATTGAGGGAACTATGATGAGTATGTTGACTATATAAATTTAAGAAAACCGTATCGCAAACTTAGCAATAATTATTATAAGCTTAACAAAAACACAAGGCTGAGCAAATCTTATTTGAAAAAGAAAGTAATTACATTAAAAATCTGTTTACTAAGTGTACTCTAACCAGCAATGTCTGAGATTGCTGATTTATATTCTCAAAAAGCAAACTAAAATCCTTTATTTCATGAGATCATCAGTTTTCCATTGCAGTATTGTCTTCATAATCCCAACACATAGATTGCATAGCCTTCTCGGATTAATAAAGGATAAATTTAAAATGATGGAAAAATTGCACAAGGGAACAAAAACATATACATTATCAGTTAAAAATAAACACATTGCAAACAAAACCATTATTTCTGAAAAAGATCATATAGCGGACATTCAGTCTCTGATTTTGTTGCTAAAGGAAACGTCTGAACTTGCAAATTTTTTAAAAGTATCAGGCTTCACTAGTCAACGTTGTATCCATTTGCCCACTCCAAACAAATATTAAATGCATTTTTAGCATTTCTATAACTTATATATAATGAAAAATAAAATGGGTGTAAAACAATTTTAGAAATTTTATTCCAATAAAATAGAAACTAATATAAAAAACACTATTATACTGCTTTTGAAATTATAAAGCCAACCTTATTGGCGTTTATATTTTGATTTGTTATCCTTCTTAAGAACTCTGAATTTTTAGAAATAGAAATAGAAAATAACTTTATTCTGGCACAAAGTCCCTTTAGAATAACAAAATAGTACATAATTAAAAGAGCACATCTGGCCAAAATAAAACAATAATAAAAAAAGAGAAAGTAAAGAAAATATTAGTTAAACAAGCTATATACAAAAAAAAAATCTAAATACAAAACACTTAAAAATATGTACAGTAGGAAAAATTATAATTATTCACTTTTGAGAAATAAAAAATACATTGAGTTCTTCTTTAAAATAAGCTGTGTTTCTGCTAACAAAGGAAAGACGAATCTGACCTAACAATATAAAATGTCAGAATATTTAAATAATGAATGATATCTAAACACATCATTATCTTATTGTAACTATAGGTACAAATTTATTTGTATAAGAATAAAAAAAATAATAAAAAAACAAACAATAGATGCATTCCGTAGCATTGAGAGAATTGAGGAGTTTTAATTAATATATTCACATAATGGACACTGATCTCCTCTGTTATTCTTAAGGGACTTCGTTCCAGAATAAAGTTATTTTTTTATTTCTATGATAAGTTTCAGAAATAATGTTTTTGTTTGAAATATGTTTATGTTTTATTGAAATGTATATACTTTTGTTACAATATGTAATGTTTCCATCATTATAAATTTAACCTTTAATAATCCGAACAGGCCATGCAACCTACATGCTTGGATTATCAAGACAATCCTATATTAACTAAAGAACAACAAAGATTATTAATTATGTCAAAAAAGCTCAAATAAATGTGAAACTAACAGAAGTGACAGGATGAGTAAAGTAATTTTGACCTTATCTGCTAACTAGAGACATCTAATAATAAATTAACAATAAAACAGCAATAAATAAAGGATCCATTAAGCAAAAGCAACTATAAAACAATCCAAAATAAATTAAATTCCCATAGAAATTTTAAAAAACTAATTGACTAATCAGTTTAAAAAAGTTAATCAACTTTTAAAAAATATCAATTATAAGTAAATAATGTTCAAGGCATACCTTAACCCATATTTCAATATTACACCTTCAACAACAAGAAGATCCTTAGGTCGTAAAGGATTTCCAAGCTGGTGCATAAATGGTACACCCTACAAAGTAAAAATCTGCGATAAGCAATTAATTTTTAAACGATATATATATTTAAAACTTCAGTTTCTATACATTAGTATTATAATTTATAATTTTATTTATATTTATAATTTAATATAGAAATAACTTAGAGCAAAGTATTATGAGATGGATAAAACAATTCTCTTTTCCTGAGTGGAATGAATCACAATATTTCATTTATGATAATAAACAAAAACATAATTCATTACTATAGGCTGTATCTTTGTTAATAATGGTCCAATTTTCATGATTTTTTTTTTTTGTTTTGTATGGAATTTAGTAATCTTTTGAATAATCATGGGTAAAATAAAGAAAAAATGTATACTTTCTGAGTTATTCACAAATAAAATTTCTTTTCCTTCATAACTTTTTTTCACGACATTTCGGGGAGATATAACTATTTTTCACACCTGAAGGAGATCTTTAAAATGAGAGGTCAATCATTGGATTTGATGATGAATTGACAATGATATGGCGTACCGACAAAAAAACACCTTTGAGAAATGATACATAGTGATAATTTACCTAACAAATATAAGGTTCATATTCGTATTTGGATCATAGTCCAAAAGAATTTTTCCAAAAGTTATGGACAACATGTATATACTAATGGCATACTTGTAAAACATTGAACCTTCGCTAATGTTTTTTAAATAGAACGACTTAAATTTTGGGTAATAAGAACTTAAATTTCAAAATTTGCCAAGAATGCAAGAGAATTAAAATATGTCTTCATTCAATAATATGGTCACATAAAATGAGCCACTCAGTCGTGAAACATAGTATCCAGCATTCTGTGTGTATTTAGTTTTTGGAAACACTAGATTAATTTTTGCCAATTTCATAGGTTGTTGATAAAAGCCATAAGAAATAGGTTCCTTCAAAGAATAATGTTTGTATTAAGATATGGTGAATAAATTTTGGTTAATAATAAACCAATATACAGTGGGCAAAAAAAGTATTCCTAAATCTCGTTTTTTTTTTTTTGGCCGAAATGGTTAACTATATTTCTTTTAACTTGAAATAATGGTATATATTAATTACAGAATTCGTTTTGTGTTAATTTTATGTAGTACCAAAACAACTTTTATAACATTAATATTTCAATCCATTATTATTGTTGACAATGCGAGAATCTCGTGCAATTATGAGAAAAAATCCCAAATTAAGTGCTGGAGAGGTTTCGGCTCACATCGCCTCAGCTTATGGGAAATCTTTAACACCTCAAACCATGAGGAATCGGCTACATGAAGCTAGCTATAGAAGTAGAGCGATAAAAAAAAAACCTTTTATAAACGAAAAAAATAGAAAAAAAAAAATACTTGAGTTTGCCCGAGAATATAAATAAACCCAACACGTTTTGGGAAAATGTGTTGTTTTTACATGAAAGTAAGTATAATATATTTGAATCTGGCAGAAAAAAAATATGTTATGAGGAAAAAGGAAAGGCATTTGAACCCCAAAAACCAACAACCCACAGTGAAGTACGGAGGTGGCAGGTTCATGATTTGGGGTTGTATGAGTGCCAAAGGAGTTGGTGAACTAGCCTTTATTGACGGGAATATGAATGCTGACAAATATGTGGACGTGTTGCGATGCAATTTAAATAAAAGTGAGCAAAAGTTAGGAATTGAGAACACATATATGTTTCAGCAGGACAACGATCCCAAGCATACGGTCAATAAAATCAAAGAATGGCTGCTATATAATGTTCGCAAAGCACTCAAAACATCTCCACAATCTCCTGATCTTAATCCAATTGAAAATTTATGGGCGCTGCTGGAATTGAAAATCTGAAAATATTCGTGTTCTTCTCGGAATGACTTAATAAACAATCTTAAAAAGGCTTGGGAAAAAATTGGAACAGAGGAGACAAAGAGGCTCGTGGAATCAATGCCAAGAAGACTCAATGTTGCGATAAAAGCGAAAGGGTACCCAACAAAATAAAAAATTAATTGAGACTTATATGTATTATATTTTCTTTGGGTTAGTAAAATGTACGAATATTGTTTTTACGCTTCATATTTGAATATTTTTTTATACAATGTGAGTAATAAAATTTTACTTTTTTGTATAATTAATGCATAATGAAATTTCTAATTGTTATCAATAATTACTTCATATTGAAAACATAAATAACAAGATTTTTGACTAAAAAATATGGTGTGCGAATACGTTTTTGTCCACTATAAGTTTGTCCACCATAGTTTATAAATGAAGAAGAATGGTAGGGGTGATCAGTCAAAAAATATATAGTAAAAATAAATAAGTATATTTATTTTTATTTTTGCTGACGTTTCAGCCCAAAGTTCAGGCTTTCATCAGGGCTAAGAAATAGTTTATAGGCTAAGAAAATAAATGTCTTAGTTAAATAGGCTAAGAAATAGTTTATAAATATTCTAGCATTGTAAAAAAATTTTCATTTTGTTTTACCACCGATTGCCTTAAATATTAAAAGAAAATCATCATCAATAATGTAAACTTCCGACAAAAGCACTCTAAAAATAACTAAGGGATTTCGATCTGATGGATTTCATTGTACAACTTGATAAAAAAAATAAAGGGATATAAAACTAACCTGACCGGATTTTCGCTTAAACATTTGAATAGACTTTTCACCTGCCAATTCTCGATTTTTTGAACTAGGTCTGATTTGGGGTTCAGAGCTGGAACTAAGAGAGCCTTTCATGACCTCTTTGGACAAGGATACTTCAGATTTTTGCATACTTTAAAAAAATATTTTGCTACATAAAATTACAACGAAAAAAAACAAAAAAGACTTTAATTTTAAAAAAATAGGTTGGATTTTAGAGTGAAACAGGTGATATAATAAATAAAACTTAGAAACAGTCAAAAGATAAATTCATCCCCAATCAAAAAATGTAAGTGCATTAAAAATAAAATAAAAATAATAGAAATCCACATTAAAAATATCCCTTACTTACTGCAGATGCTGGAGAATTTTCTTCATCATCTTCAAAATTGAAATCTAATGCATCTGCACCCAGATTTACTCGATGATTTTCAAGAATCAAAATCCTGCCTTCCATAATATAAAACAATTATTCCTTCCCTCATTAACTTATATCGCTGCTGAAGTGCATTCATGTATAATTTGCAATTCTCTGAAAGAGAACAAAATAACTATAATTGTTTACATAATTATTAGTTTACTAAATTAAAACATTTATAAATGAAAAATTAGTTCAAACATAAAGTAAATATAAAGAAATAAAACTCTTATTATGAATAATAATTCCTTTAAAAACTTTGTAAATAACAGAACATAGTCACTGATACAACTTGTTTACTAAAGTAAGGTTAGTTAAATAAACTTCGGAGCCAAACAGAGCCTATCAAAGTTTATTTACTTGTCAATTTATAGATTTTGTAACCACATGTGTAAATAGAATAAACTACTTTCAAATAAAGTAAACAGATACAAGGAGGAATATTAGGGGACTGCAACAATTTCAATTTACCTCAGAAATAATAATCATATACAAAACTAGTGTATTTTAAGCCTACGATGGAAAGAAAACCATTAAGATGAAACATACATAAAGAAAATAAATAGACATGGATGATGGAGAAATTAAGTGGCAGTGTGTAACATTTAAGGATGGAAATAATTACCAGAAAAATTCGGAAAAGCAAGGGGGAAACTAAAATAGGCACTGAAATTAGGGATTTAGCAAAACACAACTGTTACTGATTTCATTCACTGTAACAAAATATTTTCTGTATTTCCTATGTATACTTACAGACCATTGTCTCCAATTTAAATTTTAAGTAGAGTTATAAGCTGTATAAAAATTATATGTACCCCACCCTGTCTTCCTGACAAGAATGACTAAGTAGGTTACTTCTTGTCCCCTAATCACAATGGAACCGTTATTAATTCATTTGTATTGAAATAAATAAGGGAATCATTTGCATATTTTCGAGATGTACCCATTAATAACGGTTTTCTCGAACTTGATGAAGATTTCACATAACTTGATAACGATCTCATATGAGGCACCATGCTTTACTATTTTTTGTTTTGTTTTCAAAAACAAACAATATTGAGTTTAACAGAACAATGAAATATTTACAAACAAATAGTGACCTGAAACTTACCGATCACTTCACTGGACCGAAGTGGGGACCTGAACTGATACTGTTATCACTAGGTAAATTTATTATGTAACGTTTATATAATGAGGAATAACAAAAAGAAACATCTACAAACTTGAAATGGAAAATAAAACGTAGACTGATTTATTTAAAAGTTTATGTCTGTTGGAATTGTTATGTAGTCATTCATAGAGTACTTTATATCACAGACGGATTTAGAATTTTTGGCAAAGAGGCAAGCTTGATTTTGGCGCTTCTACTGCCAACTCCCCTCCCCTCCAAAGTTTAATATCAGTAATTTAGATAACATATTTAAAAATCAACATCATCATCTTATAAAATTATCTAAATAATTTATTTAACAAGATTAAAGTCAAAATAATGAAAGAAATATATTTTTATTGAATCTAAAAATAAAATTTAGCTCGAAATTTGTCGCCCACTAAATTCTGCTGCCAGGGTAAGTACTCTTTATCGATTAAAAAAAAGTTTAAACTTATTTTTTAATTGCAATAATTTTTTAGTCTTTTTAGAAATAAAATCATTAGATTATTTATTAAAATCGATGGTGTCCTCCTGCCCCTCCCCTCTAGTTCCAGCTCTGTTTCACATTTTAGTCAAGCACTTGGAAACTTTTATAGAAATTTTAAATTAAATAGATCATTTCCCTTGAAAAGTACCTTCTGAATCCATACAATGATATATTTGAATGAACTTAATTATAGATAAAAACAAATATATAAAATTGAGTTAAACGCGATTTTGAATGGGATTAGAGCTTAAAGTTTTCATTTATCTTCGATTGGTATTTCACTTCATTAACGGATCAAGGATTTAATTTTGGGGGGAGGGGCTTCAACGCGAAAGATTTTTTTTTGGGATGTGTATATTAGAATAATTACTTCGGAAGAAAGAAAGAAGCTGACTACCAATATTAAATGGTGTTTAAGTGATTCTTTAAGTCCTATTAAATGTAATTAGACAAACAATAATACTTTTAAAGATAATTTTTTTATAAAACATGGTTATATTTTACCATTTGGAGAGGGGGGAGAGGGATTCAGCCCCAAAGCCTCCCTCCTCCCTGTAAATTCACCTGTGTTTCACTTTATATACATAATATAAGTAAATTAAGGAAGGAGATGGTCCGGGGTGGCGGTCATAAATAGACTAAATAGTGGCAAAATTATTTTATTAAAAGCCAACGTTTCGACCCGACTTTGCAGGTCTTCTTCAGAGAAGTGTGTTAAGCAAGGTTCTAAGTGAAACTCCTGGCTGAACACACCTCTCTGAAGAAGACATGCAAAGTCGTGTCGAAACGTTGGCTTTTAATAAAATAGTTTTGCCACTATTTAGTCTATTTATGACCGCCACCCTGGACCATCTCCTTCCTTAATAATGCAATGGTCAACTATTAAGTATTCATTACAAGTAAATTAATTCGAACATTCATTTTTGTGCGTGTAAAATCGATATCAACATAAATTTTGAAGTATACAAAGTACGTAATACAAACAAGGCAAGCGAAAGTAGAATTTTAAAAAATCGAAGGTCATATACAATTACAATTGATGCCGTCTGTTCTATGTCTCCTCCTTGTCTCTTGGTTTGAAACTTTTTGATTACAAACTTCAAAACCCAATTAAAATGTGCCCCCTTCAAAAATTCTGATGGCGCAATCACAGCCATGAAACCTCCCTCTGGGCACTCCTTTATCCAGTTTTCCGACGCAAATATTTCCTAGGAGTTTCCCTTTTTCAAATCTTTTACAACCAAAAATCCTCTTACATTCTTGATTTGTTTACTGCTTGTTCCTCTGTTCATTCGTTCAACACGATATTCCAGTCCAAAAACCTGTTTGTTTATTTCTTCTCATATAACTGTTCCCTTTAAAAAATCCTTTCTCATACGTGCTACGTTGTTTTAGAATTCCCTTCCTACTTCCATACACAAATCAATCTTCCGAATATAATGTTATTTTGTATTCTAGAGCTGTCAGCCACATTTTACTGTTTTCTTATAGATAACTATATATTATACAGTATGTTTCAGGGTTAAGTGTCCAAACTGCAAAATAGTACTAAGGTCCTCAAAACAAGAAAAAAATATCCTCCTGAAGGTATATTCGAAAACGCTTTGTTTAGAAGATATTCACACCCAAAGATTTTCGTTGTTTTGAATTATTTACGTTATATGAAATAAATAAAACCTATTTATTTGCTCTAACTACTGTATTAATTAAATGTAAACAATAATACATAATAGACAATATTTTAATAGGTCCTCATTTCTTACCACCTCGACTCATCGCGGGCACATTTCTGGAGTTCCTTAATAATGATTACTATGATTTAGTTGAACATATTCCATCTCAAAAATTCAATAGTGTCAGGTCTGGGGAGCGTGCAGGCCACTGTTCCTGCACGTCCAATTCATTGATTGGGATAATTAATATTTAGCCATCGTGGACCTCTTCCGTAATGTGCAGAACAACCATCTGATTGAAGCCACATGTCCCTTCTCAGTTGTAGTGGAATATGTTCAACTAAATCATAGTAATCATTATTAAGGAACTCCAGAAATGTGCCCGCATTAAGTCGAGGTGGCAAGAAATGCCGACCTATTAAAATATTGTCTATTATCTATTATTATTTACATTTAATTAATAAAGTAGTTAGAACAAATAAATAGGTTTTATTTACTTAATATAACGTAAACAATTCATAACAACGAAAATCTTTATGAAGCGAATATCTCCCAAGCAAAGCGTATGCGGGCATACCTTCAATGCAAAAGTTTTTTTCTTTTTTGAGGTCCTTAGTTCATTTTTGTAGTTTGGCTACTTAACCCTGAAACACCCTGTGTATATCGTCTATATGTGAACACATTCCTATATATTTATCTATAATTCAAATTTTAACTTGTGCCTTTCTTTCATTATAATTTTAAGGTTCGAAAACTATGTAATTTAATTAATTCTCGATTATCTTCTTATGCCAGGCAAATGTCACTTAATTGTTCATTGTAATTGTTCTTAAAGGACTGAATGCCCTAGAATAAAATTTTCTTTTCTTTCATAATTAGTAAATGGTTGACTGTCGTGAATAATGGAGAGAAGAATAGTTGGGGTGATCAGCCAAATAAGAAGGCAAAAATAAATGATACTATTTATTTTGACATTAGGCGACGTTTCGACCTGAAGTTCAGGCCATCATCAGGGCTAAGAAAAGAACCAGATAACAAGGTATGGGAAACATAAGTAATGTAGGTAAAAAAAAAATTAAAGTAAAATTCAGTTGTTGGAATAATGACAATAGTAAGAACAAAGAGATAAATTATAATAAGCGGTACAAAGTGTGGAATGAAGAAGTAAACATAACGAAAAAAAAAAAGGTGACATAACTATTAAAAAGGGAATCTTAGAATAAAATGTAAAAACAGAAAAATATGAAGTTATATAAGAAATAGAAATAAACAGTAAAATTAAGATATTGTGAAAAGAATAGTAAGATAGAAAATTGAGATGTTGTAAAGTCTATCAAGATGTATAGACAACGTATAATATAATACAGAGTTAAAACAGAGCAGAGGGATGAAAGGAAGGGAACCGAGAAGGATGAAATAAGAAAGAGAATAAGAAAGAAAAATAAAAATAAAGAGAAGACCCACTTGATTACGGAGATGTAAATCTAAGCAATGTGGGTGTTAGTCTGTTAGTAGTGTGTTAGTGTTAATAAATAGTATCATTTATTTTTGCCTTCTTATTTGACTGATCACACCAACTATTCTTCTCTCCATCCTTTCTTTCTTTATATACAGGGAAAAAATTTAAGGTTTTCATTTTTTCCGAAATTGATTTTTTTCGAAATAAGTACTAAATTCTTCCAAAAACTAAGCTTATAGACTAGATTTTACTATCATAAAAACTAAAAAGAAAACAAAATCGTATTACAATAATTTTTAAAATCATTATAATGTATTAATAAAATAATACATTGATTTTATT